TTTTTAATAAAAGGATTTCCCGATTTCCAGAAAATATGTGAATCGGAGGTGTTCTCTGAAAGCATAATTTTGGGCAAATGCGAACAGGACATTTATGAAGCACTGAAACCGTATGAATTGCCCGAACGGTTTGACGATTCATTGGGAAGATTGATAATATCGGAACACCAGCAAATTCGATTCAGCTACGATTTTTCTGATGGAATCAAATTCACGAAAGTCCCACTTTGTTTTTTTTTTGAAAAATTAGGAAAAACGTGGGACGAATTGAACTAATTGTGTCATATTCCTAAGTTTTTATGTAAAGTACCAAACAAGCAGATATCTGAAGCGTTTCAACATATGTTTTAATAAATGTGCTTGTGGTTGGAGGAGATCGAAAGTTCCGAGCCAATTTCCGGATCAGTCGTTTAGTTGAATGTAAATCTCCGTAAATTGATTGTGGATCACTCTGGCATTCCGGATATTGAAAGGGTTTTGTAGAGTTTCCGGTTTTCAGTACTGCCGGACTCGATATTCTAGCAGAACTTGCTCAACAGCTGCACATTTTGCAAACTAAATCTTTACACAAGAACCTGAATAATCCGACTGATAAATGCGTCTGACATCAGTTTCGCTCATTTGGGTAACAGCGAGATATTGCATGTTTTAATCCGGAAACTCTGACGTTTGTGTTTTATTATTATTCGTATATTTGTTAGTTTTTTTTTTGATTTCCCGACGTCAGACCACCAGAAACGTTTGTTCAGTTATTTTGACAATGGGATATTAAAGTGAGTGTTATAATTGAAATCTAGGAAAATGAATTAAATGAGCAATATTTCAGAAACTTTGACAGGACAGACCAGTATGAGAGTCATCAGAGATTGAAAATTTCGAAATGAGAAAATTTTGACGAAATGACAAACAAACAACTTAATGATTGAATCGAAATGCAACAAATGTACAAAATTATCTTTAAAAAGGGAAAATAAGGTCGAAACATCTTCTCGAGCACATCATTCTTTTCAGGGTCCCACAGATGAAAAATTCTGATCCCCAAACCTCTCTCTCTCTCTCTCAAAAGTTTAGATAGAAAATATAAAAACTTATTATGAAAAAAAAAAACTTACAGTTTTCAGATGTCTCACAGTCTTTCTCGAGGTACCCTGGGCTCGGAAGCTGCTCGAGTAAATAAAATACGGAAATTGGATAAATATGAGGAGTTTTTGGCAGATGAGTTAATTTAATTTAATTTGTTTATTGATCAGGTGTAATAAAACATTAGAGGGCAAGACATGAAAGACTCAGAAAAATGCCCCTCACGAGGCCGAGTTTATATCTCTATGTACATCGAATAGAAACAATTGAAAAGGAGACAACAGCGGTTGATTATAAATTTGTTGAAAATATTCAGGAACTTCTATCCTTTGAAATATCGGTATTTGCCTCATTAACCTCCGACATCGGGTTTCAAAAATAGATTTTTTACACGCGCCATTGGAACATTTTGTTGAGTCCCAGATACAATATTCAATCTCCTTTGTACTTACTGCAGTAGGTTTGTAGTTAGTAGGCCGTGCGCTATGATAATGCCATGTCTCATTATTCAGACTTTGTTCAGTATAATATCAGTATGTCTACAGGGTGCGCTTTAATTACGGGTGCATAAGTTGCTGGCTTGATATGATGCACACTATGATTACTAATTCAGTTTGTTTCATACTTTTCTTATTTCTCTACTCAGTGTTAATATTCCTGCCAAATTTCATAATATAACTTTACGTCTGAAGTGAATGGTGGCTCATTTTCCAACCCTTGTTTCTGTCATCAACGGTTCAATGCAAGGTAACCTCAGGATGCAAATACGCGTATTTCTAAATTCAAAAACCCGTATTTCTAAATTCAAAAACCCGTATTTCTAAATTCAAAAACCCGTATTTCTAAATTCAAAAAATCGGTATGAAATTTATCAAAATTGGAGATGGTCAATTTTATGTCGAAATCTAGGGTGCTAGGTAAAACTTCATTTTTTGGAATCATAAAATCTTTGATTTTATGAAATTGTCAACAAAATGTAGAAAACCGGGGCTTTAAAGGGTTGGCGGAAGCAGGAATATTTGGATTTAGTTTTCTACATTTTCCGGTTCAGATCATTACCTACAACCATACTGTTTGCCGCGCCTCCGGCGCTTCAAACGGCTGGCTAGTGCGCCTACAACGCGAGATCGTCGCTTCGCTCCTCTAATTTCACTTTCTGATTTTTTCTCATTGTTTTTTGACCTGCCAACCCCAAATGTTTTCCAATTGATCAAATTTGTCTAGCGGTTTTTTGCTGTAGGAAACTTCCTTTCTGGAAAAAAACCAAATGACACACAAAGAAGAAAAGAAGAAAATAGACACCACACCATTTATTTATAAGAATGATAACTAATACCAGTCTGCAGTTTAAAACCATGTTCTTATTGTCTTCCTAGAAATTGATGTTTCTGGAACAAGTTCTCTAGAATCGGCTCTGTTACGGTTTCCTTGAGCGGTCCATTCCAAAGTCGTCGTTGAACAAACCAGTTGCCGATCTGAAAATTAATTATATAATGAAAAAACAAAAACATGACTAACCTTATTCGCAGACCAATTTGTTTTCTCGATAAGCTCTTTATTTCCATAGTCCATCATCATAAATTTTGACCAATATTTCGTCAGGCGGGGTTTGTGGATCTTCCATCACTGCCTTGCAGCGACGTGTGAAGAAATCTCTTACCTAAAAATGAGAAAGTTCAGCAGGACCGCGACGTTTTAGAACCGATTTCTTATTTTAAAAAACGTTACTGGGATTTTTTTTCTTAAAAACACATTTTCCAATCGTATTTTGCTGACTCACCTTAAAATCTCAATTATGTGACGTAGAAGAATATATAAAAATTTGAGTATGATAGAATATTATATGCTATGAATTTAAGGATTTTCAGAAAAATCAAAATGAATAGATTCTTGACGTCCATACAGAAGGACGTCTGGGAATCTATTGGCGTAGAGAGAAGAATGAATGCTAATGTTTGCTACCTGCCGGTTTATATAGGCAGAGTCGGGGGCGGAGCCTTCACCCCGTCTTCACTGTTCTACAGATTTATGCTGTCATTAGGACGCATAGTTATGATTTATGACTGTATTCTTTCCACTAATCTAACCGAAAATAGATAAGTATTGTCCCAGGAGAAATACCTATGTTGAAGAGGTAAAGAGGAACACAATAGAGTGTACATAACTGTAGATATTAAACGTTTTATGGTGTGCATACACTCAGGACCAACGAGGAGTTGATGGAGGATTCTCAAGGAATGTATTTCAAATTAGTCACCAGACAGTCAAATGTGATTGGGCTCAGAATTTCAGAATTTACCAATTTCAGAACCTCGGAGTCTTAGAAATCTCAGATTCCGCGTAAATTTTCATCCGCTTGCTTGCATTTGAAATCAAAAAAAAAAGGTTGGATGAGATGTTGCCGGTATATCGAATGGGGAGACAAAGACCATACGGGAGGCCAAAGCATGAGAAAGGAGAAGTCAATTGAGTTTCGGGCGATGTGAGCCCAGCAAAAACCAAATGTGAGGAAGATGAATCCACGTGAACCAGAAACGACAGAAATGCAAATGATTTGCAAGATAATAATAGTTTTAACGTGAAACTAGATTCTCCAGTTGATTTTGTATTTTTGTGTAATTCTAATTTGAAAATTCCAATGGAGTTTGAAAAAAGTGAGATTATTTCTAGAGAAACATAATCATTTCCAGAAAAAGGATATAAAAAGCTGTATAACATATTCCCATTTGTCACATCATTCTTATTCCCAGAATTACAGTTGAGTGTATGCACACCATAAAACGTTTATTATCTACAGTTATGTACACTCTATTGTTCCCCTCTTTACCTTTTCAAAATAGGTATTTCTCCTGGGACAGTACTAATTACCACATAAATCTGTGGAACGATAAAGACGAAGGGAAGGCTCCGCCCCCGACTCTGCCTATATAAACCGTTAGGTAGCAACCGTTAGCATTCATTTCTCTCTCTACCCCGAAAAATTCCCAGACGTCCTACTGTATGGACGTCGGGAATCTATTCCCATTGATTTTTTTGAAAATCCTAATATTCATAGCTTATAATATTCTATTATACTCGAAGTTTTACACATTCTTCTATATTTCTTCTGAGATTTTACATCCTCTTTCTCTGAATCCAAGTTGTTGCATCGTCATACAAGTTTTCTGATTGCCCCCTTGAAGACAACGTCGTGTTGGACACAAAGTCTCTCTGCGACTCAATTTCTCGAGAGAAGGTTTTCGCGAATTTTTTGGCGATTCTGAGAGTGCCCAAGCGCTACGAAGAACGGGATTCCAGTGAAGAACCAGATCTAAGAATTGACGAACAAGCTTGTGATGAAGCTTGGAATCTGCCAACGTATTCAACAGTACAGAAGTCTCCAGTAGCTCCAAAGCAAATAAAGTCAGGAACCAGAAAGATTGCTCCGAGTAGACGACAACAATCCGGTCCAGTGCGATCTTCAACTGAAGCTTCGGTACTCCATCTGAAGCTCCTGTAGCACATCTCGAAGCCAGAAAAAGGAAAGAATGGAAACTGTGAACTGGGTGCTTCGAAGGAAAACGGCTAGACAAAGGTCAGTTATATTTTTTTTTTTAATAGATTTTCCTTTTTTTAATTTCTTATATTTTCAGTAAACGTCTCTCGAAACCGGAACAACGTCAGACAAAGTTCACTGAGGTTCAAAAGCACGTTATTAACGAAATCTTCAAAGTCGCTGAAGAACCGCCCTGTAAAACGATACACATGATTTCTGAGAACTTGCGCTCGGATTTTAAGCAGTTTTGAACTATTTCGTAAACAATCGCCAACGAGGAAGACAGATGCAGACCGAGAATAAATAAGATTATTTCATGATTGTTGCTTTTTCTCATGTCATTTGTCATTTGTCATTTTCTCATTCGAGCAAACCTTTTTTGAATAATAAACTTTTTAAAAAATGTTATTCTTTTTTCGATTAAAACATTCTAAATGTGTTGTTCAGCTCACTATGTCATGAGCAGTTTTGTTTTAAAACAAGTTTCAAGTAGGTTTAATATCGTGTGCTTTAGTAATCGAGATAATTGAGCTCAAAGTGCATGTATGGGAGGGCTACCATTAGAGCGTTTACGGTAGGTTGTCGAAAAGTTCGAAAACGTTACTGTAGGTTGATTAGTATTGAAGCTATATGCGTTTTTGACAAGATGAAATTGAAATTCTCAAAATCGGTTGTTAATAGGAAAACTTTTGGAAAAAATCCATCGAGCTCAATTATCTCGATTTTTGCAAGAGATCTTTTAAATGTGTCAACTGATGAATTATCTTCCTTATATATAGAACGCTAGACGCGTCTGTTGGTCCCGGTGTCAGTCTGTCTGGTTTTGGGTTTTTAAATGAAAGGTTGGCCGCCACCAAAACCGAACCAGCGGCCTGTCGCACAACAACTGAGAGAAATCGAATAGAGGGGTGGAGTGAACAACCAGTAAAAAATATTGAATTGCGCCAAAGGCGCAGAAGCCAGCAGGCTGGTTTACCATAACGTCAGAAACGTTTTGTCAGTTAACACATTTTCAGTATTTTTTGAAGGAATCGAGATAATTGAGCTCAAAGTTCACGTTTATTGTAGGCTTCTTGAAAAGACTCCACGCGCTGGCAAGTTTGAGTTTAATCACTGTAAAACCTGTATTAGAAGGGCCCCCGTAATAGAAGGGCCCTTTGCAAAAAAGAACCCTCTCCGAAATGTGTCTTGAAATAAAAAAATTTCGTTACGTGTTCAGTGAAAGATATTCCGGAAATTCCACAATTTAATAGAAATTTGTTGGAAGACTACTTTGTTGACAAAGAACTTGCTCAATTTCGGGGGAATTGACAGTTTTTTTAATGAATTTTGAACATATTATAACAGGCTTAACAGCGCCCTGAATGTGCCTGGCACTTTCCTGAACGAGATTTTCAGTGGAAAAACAGTGTTAGAGTCCTTAGAAAAAATTTTAATACTTTCAATCGTAGTGAATTTGCGTCTGTCCAGTTTTTTCTTACTTTTCTCGTTTCCAATCTTTCAGACAATAAAAAATGTTACTATGTTACAAATCTTTATGCTCATCATCGTTCATTCGATTCAATACATTCTTATTCATTTTTACTCTATTTTTGTTCCATTTGCTGTTTTCTCCTCCAGCTTTCGTTTCCTTTTTTTTATTTTTGAACACTAGTATAAATGGAATTTGATGCTCATGTGTATTTCTTCAACTTTCTTAGGAAATAACTACTTATGTTGTCATAGATTGAGATCTGAGTAGTAAAGTTGCTCTTTATCAAAAAATGGTATCTTCAATTCGCTCGCCTCAATTGAAGCTCAAAAACCTTTTGATACAAAATACTCCAAAATTATCGGAAACATGTCGGAGAAAAGTTCAAGTATCCGATACACCAATAAAAAACTTCGGACAAAATTAGTGTTTCCGATTCTCCGAAAACTTTTAATTTAATTTGTTTATTGATCAGGTGTAATAAAACATTAGAGGGCAGGACATGAAAGACTCAGAAAAAATGCCCCTCACGAGGCCGATCTGAGTAGGGGAGGGGAAACGGGATAATTTAGATATTTGACACAGGAAAGATGTAACCGGTAGAAAAAGAAAAATAGGGAGCAAATATATCAATAACGGGTAATACTGGAAGAAATTAGGGATTCAAACTCGGAAGGTAGGAGAAATCGGGGAACTTGGGAAGTGATGGCGTTCCACAGGGGAACAATTGAAGAAAAATAGTCAGAGGAGTAGGGCTGAACAATAATTAAGTTCATAGGGCGACGAGGGGAGGAGGAGTATTTGACATGTGCATTTAGGTCAGGAAAGTAGGCGGAGCCATTTAAAAATTTATAGAGAAGAATTAGTTCAGCTTTTAGCCTACGATGTTGAATGGAGAACATATTGAGGATAGAGAGACGATCAGAATAGGAACTGTACTGGATATTACAACGCTGGAAAATACACTTAGAGAAAAATCTTAAGGGAGATTCTAGTTTTAGAGCAAGGCGAGAAGAAGGCGGAGGGGAATAAACTACAGAACAGTATTCAAGAATCGGGAGAACATAACATTTGAAAAGATGAATGTAGGATTCTGGAGACTTAGATCTAAATGACTTTAAGAGTTGTTTGGAACGGAGAAGAGTTAAAGATGTGATTTTGTTGATGTGAGCAGAGAATTTGAGAGAGGTATCAGTAATGAGTCCCAAGTCCCGGACGGAGGAGGGGGAGTAAGTGTGACACCCGCAATATTGAGAGGATGGGAAGAATTATGGGAACCTAGGCAAAGAAGGGCAGTTTCTTCTTCAACGAAGCCTGGTAGACAGTCAACGTTTTTTCAAAAGTCTCATTTTATTTTGAATTTTTTGCCGTGAAGACGGTGCATCAAGAAATAAACAGAAGCCAATACTCTGAATAGACCAAATCAAAAAATACGGAGGATTTCATTTCTTTTTGACAAAAAATGTTTTTCCATCTCACACATCTTTACACTCATTATCGTTAATCCGACTTTTGGTTCTGTCTAAAAATTTCGAATCATAACCTCACGAAAAATTGTTCATGCTCAGATTGAGTTGTTTACTCTCTCGTGTTTCTCAACTTTCTTGAAAAATGATTACTTATAATGTCATGGGACAAAAACTGAGTAGTGTATACAAAAAGGTGTGTTTTTGATTTCACTTTTTATTTCCTTTCCCTTTTTGATTTTATCAGCTTTCATTCTGCCTACCTTTGAGAGCCAGCCAAAGCGCTAGTTTGGTATTTGTCTCCTTCTATCTATACCGATTTTTGTTCCGGCTTTTTCTCTGCTCTCCTGCTTTATATGGATATTTATTTTTCGCCAAAACAGCGAACGAAAAGGTATTCTTACTTCATTGCTCCGAAAATTTTGTATCATTTGCCTCTGATAATTTTTTTGGGGATGAAAACACAAATTTTCTCAAAAAGTGTATTTTCTTTCTTCAATAGAAGATTTTGCTCTCTTGACGTCATCATATCCGCCTTCGAAATACCAAAAGACCGCAACGTATCTACCTGCATTGCGTGTTTGTGCTAATTACTCTTGTTTTTGGAGCAGTGCATACGTCTCTTCTCTACATCGTCGTGCAGACACTTTTTCTTTTTTTTTCAATTTTAGGATGAAATGGAAGCGTCCACAAACCTTTTTTATCACGAAAATGTTTATTATTCAATGAAAGACTGCAAAACGTGCCCGCTTTCCAAATCCCGCGAAATCGCGACATAAATTTCTGCGTCGACTGTGTGTTCCATACCAACTGCTCTTGTCTTGGCAACGGGGCGCCCCGCTTTGCGCGGGAGCCCCCGCCTATTGAAATACAAAAGCACGTTTAATGAAAAAAATAACCTGTTTTTTAAATTTTATTACGATTCAGAGTACCTAACTAGGCTACCCTGAAATTTTCAAGAAAATTGGTTCATTCAGCTACGCTCAGTTACGCAAAAAAGATTTGCATGGCGGGAGGGGGGGGGGGGGGGCCGATCCTGTGTTGTTCACTTCGATCCTGAGTTGTTCACTTTTTAGAGTTGTTCACTTTTTCGTATTTCTTCAACTTTCTCAAAAAATGATTACTTATAATCACATGGGACAAAAACTGAGTAGTGTAGTGTGTACAAAAAGGTGTATCTATGATTTCACTTTTTATTTCCTCTCTCATATTGTTTATATCAGCTTTCATTCCGACCTTTGAGAGCGAGCCAAAACGCTAATTGGGTATTTGTCTCCTTCTACCTATAACGATGCTTGGTTCGGTTTTTTCTCTGCTCTTCTGCTTTATATAGATATTTCTTTTCCGCCAGAACAGCGAACAAAGGGGTATTCTTGTTTTATTGCTCCGTACATTTTGTACGATTTGCCTCTGATAATTTTTTCGGGGATGAAAACACAATTTTCCTTAAAAATATACTTTCCTTCATCAGTAGAAGATTGCTCTCTTGACGTCATTGTGTCCTAGGGTTGGCAACGGGGCGCCCCGCTTTGCGCGGGAGCCCCCGCCTATTGAAAAACAAAAGCACGTTTAATGAAAAAAATAACCTGTTTTTTAAATTTTATTACGATTCAGAGTACCTAACTAGGCTACCCTGAAATTTTCAAGAAAATTGGTTCATTCAGTTACGCTCAGTTACGCATAAAAGATTTGCATGGCGGGGGGGGGGGGCCGATCCTGGCCCTACGTCCTGGGCGCCCGGGGCGGGGATCGCCCCTTTTCGCCCCGCAGCCAACCCTATTGTGTCCGCGTTCGAAATATCACGAGACCGCGACGTATCTATATGCATCGCGTGTTTGTGCTAATTACTCTTGTTCTGAGAACAGTGCATTCGTCTCTTCTCTCCATCGTCGTGCAGACACTTTTTCTTTTTTTTTCAATTTTAATATGGAATTTAAGAATGGAAGCGTCAACAAACCTTTTTTATCACGAACATTTTTATTATTCAATGGAAGACTGCAAGACGTGCCCGCTTTCAAAATCCCGCAAAACCGCGACATAAATTTCTGCGTCGACTGTGTGTTCCATACCAACTGCTCTTGTCGTTGGAATACTGCATGCGTCTCTTCTCTCTATTGTCTTGCAGACTTTTTCTTCTTTTTTTCTTTAGCGATGAAGTGAAAGCGTCCCCTACTTGGTTGTTCCCAGTGTGTCCTTTCGAAACTACTTCGAGAAATTCCTCGAAAATTTTAAAGGAATTCCTCGAAAATTTTAGAGGAATTCCTCGAAAGATTTTTCGAGGCGAATTCATTTTGCAGTGGTTTTGAAAGTTTGGTTTTTTAGGTCACCACCTAAAAATGGCCTAGAAATGGCCTGACATGATCCTGGTGTGTTTTCTAGGTCATTTGGAAGCGGTGGCCTAAAAAACCAAATTTGCAAAAAATAGGCCACCACTTCAAAATGACCTAAAAATGCCCTAACATGACTTTGGTATGTTTTCTGGGTCATTTTGAAGTGATGGCCTAGAAAACCAAATTAGCGAAAGTTAGGCCACCACTTTAAAATGACAAAATAAACAAGAAAACAGTGTCAGCAACGACAAATAACTGAAAAAAGTCGCAAACGACACTCCGAAATTCCGTACCGCGCATTGTTTAGCACCTAAATGTTTTCGATACATTTTTGTCGAAATTTCCTCGAAAATTTCTCGAAAAAGGCATTTTTCGAGAAATTGTTTTTCGAAAATACACACTGGCTGTTCCTGATCAGAACATTTTTGAAATTGGAAATTGTTTCTTTGGCTTTCGAAATCTTGCTAAACCGCGACTCATTTTTCTGCTTCGCGTGTACGATAGTTCCTTTTCCACATGCTTTTGTTCTTGGAACATCACACTCTTCTTTTTTCTTTTTCGTCTTGCAGGCTCGTTTCTTTTCTTTTTTTTCATTTTGCGATGAAATAGAACCGTGCCCCTATTCGGTTGTTTCTGATCAGAAATTTCGGAGTTTTTATTCTGAACATAGAATTTTATTGTTTTCAACTTGTCTATTTCCAGTCATCTGCTTATTTATCACTCTCCAAAGCCATTTCCTTGAAACATAGGTGCGCTCTTTTTCATGTTTTTTTTTCTTTTTTTTCTCTTACTTATATTGCGCGTCGAATTTTTTCTATATTCATACATGCACTTCTTCACATGCCCATTCTTTTCCTTGGCCTGTTATTTTTTTTCAATGTTTGTGCTAATACAATCTTTCGTCAGTATATGTTTCACATATGCCAACTCATCATCATTTCATTCATCATATCTGCATTATCTTTTTTTTTCTTCTGCCTTTTATAAAATCATAAATTCTGCGAAGCATCCTAAAATATCCGTATTCTCAAAAAATTTCAATTTTCCCTACTTATGAACTCATCCCGCATCTTTTTTATATCCATGTTACTTGATGTTTTTTCCAGATCCAAAAATGTCCACAATTTTGGAACCGCGAAGTGAGAACTTCAAGCGTACCATGCTGTGCGGATATTGCAGTGCAGGACTATCCGCAGAAGCTGCTGTGGAAAGTTTGGCTGCCGATTTCCCTGCGCTCACCACACAGGAAGTGAGCGCATGGTTTGCGCGGTTCAGGGCTGGAAATTTCGAAATTGGCGAAAATGTCAGGTGAGTTGCTTTTTTAATTAGATAAAAACAAATTGTAATTGCGTTGAATCAACGTCTACGATTTGAAAAACGGTACTCTGTGATTTCAGCATCAATGCTGAAGGAATCGTCATCGATAGGTCTGTCAGACTCAAGCGAGAACTCGATGATGCAGAGCAAGTGGATGGTGAGCCACTGGCCAGAATGAACCCAAATCTTCCGGTTGTGCCAAAGAGAGAAGTGGATGAGGAAGACGGTGCGAACCAGCATCCTCAAGTGAACGGTGCAGCTAATCATATTGTTGCTCAACAGCAACCAGCTCCTCACAATTTGCCAATAGTTGCAGTGAACGAGAATCCTGCAAATGGAGGTCCTCAAGTTGTCCCAAACATTGAGGAAGAAGATGGAGAAGGTGCTGATCATGCTCGAGCCAATCCAGCCAATGAAGGGAATCAAGCTCCTGCAATCAACAGAAATCAAAGAGAAGCGAGGGCTCGTCCAGTTCGTCGAGCTCAACGAGCAGTCGCAATTCCTCCGCAGAATCCAGTTCATCCAATGCCGATTCAACCAGCAATGTATCCAGTGAACTTGGCTAACCAGTTCCCTCCAGTCCCTTTACTTTTCCAAATCACTCCACAGTTTCTACCGGAAATGCAATTCTATCAATTCGGTGTCCAATTCCCTATGCACTATTGGCAACATCAAAATCCTCCGTAAGTATTCAATAAATTGGAAAATCATTGTGGATTCATTTGCCAGGAATATTGAAGATTCTTTGCGGCCATTTGAAGCTTCAACAAGAGGAATGGAAAAATTTAACGGCATGCTTTCATGTCGTCATTCTCCAGACCATGCGATATATTTTGAAATAATGAGATATGGTCTTAAATTCACAAAGCTCGAGAAGTATTAAAATTAGTTTTTTCTGATGTTTTCTGACCATCATTAATTCTACTGCATCAATAAATATCACACGTGTTTTTGTGTCTATGTATCGTCTATTCCCAAATCGTAAAGTTCCGTTTTCTTTTCAATAAATGTTTTTCTCCATTTCTATTTTTGATTTGTTCATTCTCTCCAGTCAGATCTTGGTTTTTAGCTGGACGAAGTCGACAGTCAGTGTCTTTTTTCAGGTCCCATGTTGTTTTGAAATTTCAAAAATAATGGTAGCCTCCTTTTCTATCGGTCTCCTCAGTTTTCATTCAGCAATGAACAATCTAAACAACTTATTGCTAATGATAAAACATTGTCTAGCCAATTAGGTACAAAGGGCGGAAGGACCTTCATTCCAAACAAAATAGAATTTGACGTGGGACCGAAACTGAAGCAGAAGCGCATGTGCAATTACACTGTTACCATATACCGTAAACCATCTAACAGAACGCCACCCGAGTCGTCAAATTTGAACCTATGTATCTCAATTTCTGTGTGAGATATCAAAAAGTGGTCAACTAATAAAATGTTACTAATATCATGATAAACATTTTACTTGTTAACAACGTTTTGATGTCTTTCAAAAGAAGTGAGATATATAAGCTCAAAGTGGACGGCTCGGGTAACGTTCTATTAGAGTGTTTACGGTATGTTCATTTTTGATCTTTGTGATAATAAAATTTTTTCCATGCTGCAAATTTCTTCACTCATTATTGCTCATCTGACTTTTCGGTTGAACTGAAATCTTGAAATAATGAATTTTCGAAAAATTATTCATGCTCACACAGTTGTTTACTCTTTCGTATTTCTTCAGCTTTATTAAAGGTGGGGGAACATGAAAATAATAATGTTCCCAAAATTTTGTTAAAATATGCCCCTCGAGGAGTTGAACTTGTGGGGGCGAGGATTGAGGGTGCAGCGCCGCTACCGACTGAGCCACGCTGGCGAAAAGAGAGCCTGATGGTAAACATAAGGGTGAGGACGACCGCTGTACGCAGAGTGACATTAAGCGTTGTACACCGTTACGGTAGAATGCACACCCTGGCTACAAAAATCCTACGAAAAATCTCCTGTCCCCCCACCTTTAAAAATGATTAGGTATAATGTCATGAGCCAAAACTCGAGTTGTGTCCTCGAAAAGATTTGTTCATAATGTCACTCTCTATTTCTTTTCACGTTTGGTCTCCTCAATTTTTCATTCTGTCTATTTCTGATAGCGAGCGTATATGCTCATTTTGTACGAAATATGGATTTGGCTCTCCATCGGTCTGAGAATTGCTGATTTCGATTTGTTCCATGTTTTCTGACATAACATGGAAATTGATTTTTGTCCAAATGACGCAAAAAGGTTGTGACTTTTTTTTAAATAACAATATTTTATAGTTTTCAATTCGTTCATTCATTTATTTTTCATTCACAAATTCTGTTTTCTGACCTCTGTTTTAGAAAATTTTCTCATTTTTCTTCATCTTCTGGTGAATTTTTTCCGAATCTTTTTTGTTAGCCGATTCCTTAGCCGCGCCTCGCAATTTTGTCGCTCCATACCTGATTTCATAGAGACTGAATAGGCACACATACGTAGAGGACAAAAAATCTGTCAGATCCAATGTGGTATCTTGAAGATCTGCAACACAATTCAAAATTTTTTTCATTTAACTTACCTATATCAAAATTATTGTCAACACATTGAGAACCGGAACGACGAAATTGCGGGCGACTCACAGCAAATGGGCTGGCATTGACTGAAAAGCATATTCAAATGTCGCATCCTCAAATACATACGGGAAGCATCCTCAAATACATACGGGAAGTGAAAGCTTGGTTCGCTCGGTTCCGAACCGGAAACGTGGAAATTGGCGAAAATATTAGGCGACTTTTGAAGAATAGTGACCTAACTCACAATAATATCTTTTTCAGCATCAACGCCGAAGGAATCGTCGTTGACCAATCTATGAGACTCAAGCGTGAACTTGATGATGAAGAACATTCGGATGGTGAACCACCTGCAAGAATCAACCTCAATCCTCTTATAGTGCCAAAGAGAAAGATGAGTCTGGAAAATAAAAGAACTCTCAAAAACTAAAAAAGATATCAGAAATCTAAATCACTTTAAGAGAACGTTTAGTCCTACGTCTCCTCCACAATAGCGTTCTCGAAACGCTGAGCAATAGCAGTCATCGGATCTCTCCCTGTTCTCAACTTGGCAAATTCATAACATGTCCCAAGTGTCCCCTCTGCGTTGCTCACGTTCTCTACGATCGTTGCATAACCTCCTGGTTGTATCAGGTCAACATTAGTGATCACAAAATGCTTGTTGGGTACTTCACGACACAATGCTACGACATCGACTTGCCAGTTGTTGACCAACACCAGAACTCTTGCTTCTCGAACTTTCGGATTCTGACCGTCCCCTAATTTCAAACCATCAGATTCGAGACGAGTGAACGGGCGGTTTGGATGCTCCAGAATTGTTTCAACACGTTGTAGAACTTCTGATAGGTGTCCAGAAGTTCCAAACACTTGAGCATCAATCTTGATACCTTCTGGAAGACCAATAATCAATCCGTCGTATGGAAGCGCCCAAAAGCCAAGGGATCTGATTTTCGTAACTACTGGACGATTTTCGAGGAATTTGCAGATCAGATATTTCCGTGCCTCCATCAAAGTTTTGTCGTATTGTAAACGTTCGATGTAGACATTTCCATCTGGAGACTTCTTTGTGAACTGCAAATAAAGAGCTTTAGAAAACAACATAGCAATGTGTTTTGATTCCCAGGAAGCGCATAAAGTTAACATAATTACCTGAACAAACATATCATATGGTAATGGACGATTATCTCGTTTACATTGGAAACGAATCACATAATTTGTCCCGCTCCAATGCATCTTTTATAGTCCGAATGTTATGGTTTGTTATTCTGATTCGTTGTTCTCGATTTAGGACCATGTTTCTTCTTCTTCTGTCAAGCTCTTCTGGTTCTAATTCCAGTGGATACTGTGGAAGATTTTCAACTTCTTCTGGATCATATTCAAGATCCTTTTTCTCTCTTTCATAATCAATTAGTCTTTTATAATATCTCGCCACATTTGCTTCTGCTATCTCAAGTTCAAGACTCCTGCAGGATGTTCAAGACTCCTGCAGGATGTGTTCAAGACTCATGTTCAAGACTCCTGCAGGATCGTAATCTTGAATAAGAATATCCCAAGGAGTCAGTTCTGGAAAGGAACTCTTCAGGAATCCAAACTTATCAAAATCGTTTTTATATCCGCCTCTTCGATGTTCTTCTTTGAGTAACGTCTGGCTCCCTATAGCTATTGTGGATGTGTCACATATATCCAACATTGTGATGGCAGAATTGACACTTGAAACAGTAATCGCCGATAATACTGAGGTAAGATATGTTGGGAAGAAGTTAGAGGTGAATTTCAGGTGAGTGAGTTTTATGAAAAAGCGTTCACAATTAATTCATTAAAAACTTTCCAGATTCCGACTGGCCGAACGTCTTCCGAAAATTGGTTTTGCCGAAAAAGCGGTACCACTGCACATCTCTAAACTCTCGATTTCTGAAGGAAGCGTCAAAATAAACGATACCGAATACTGTCTTGGTGTTCTTCGGCAATTTCGTGAAGGTCCCACTCCCGAAGTTTTATCATGGTGTGGCACAAACACTTCTAGAAACACCAAGCCATATTGAAGAATTCCATTTGAAGAACTGGGCACCCAAAGGCGACATGGACTGGACCTTAATCGTCAATAAAGCGTTGATTGGTATGAAAGTGGGCCCTCTTGTGAAGATATCGCGATGAAATTGCACTGTCGATGGACCAAATGGAGGAATTTACGTCACACGTTCCAAACTTTGTTAATCTCCAATTTGCCGGTTTCGTTGTTGTGAGGGCTAATATAAGGAAACTGTCACATATACCCTACATTACGATGAGTGTTGAAAGGCAAACAATCGAATCAGTTCATGGTTACAGAAATGTATGCTTTTGATCTTTTCGATTCCATAATTATCGTATTTTACAAATGATAACCGAAAAAGAAAACTTCGTAAGTCACCTTTTTGACGGAGTGTTTGCCGAGGACATTGTTGACTCCTTACGACCATTCGAAGTCTCAACCAGAGGAACAGAAGACTTTGATGGGATGTTGTCGTGCAGTTATTCCGAACAGCATGCAGTTTTTTGTCATTTCTATCTTTTAATGTGGGTTTTCTTCATTCAGTACAAATATAAAAAATCAGAAAATGACCTATTTAAAAAAAAACCTATTTTTTTTGATTTTTGTGCTTCACTAAAGCATCAGACCCGAATTTCGTTGTGTCCATTGTTGGATCCGATTTGTCTACTTCGATCCTTTTGTCCTATTTTCCTGCTCATTCATTGTCTTGCTCCTATCAGAAATAATCATTTTGAAAAATCTACAATTACAATTTTTGAAAATTTTCTGACTCAATTATTTTTTGGCTTGATTTTCCCAAATATCACTAATATTTTTTATGAAATAAAAATCAAATTGACATTCGAAAAAAAGGGAGAGCGTATGAATCAGCAGAAGGAAAAAAACAAAACTGATTTTTCTGAAGGTTTTCTGAGAATAAATTCGTTGACAGTGAAATGTGGAAGGTTACTCCCAGAATTTTTTAAATAACATTAATATGTTATTATTTTTGGTGAAGACACTAGTGGCGGGTGGTTATTATGAGTGGGGATGAAGAAAGAAATTTTGAATTAGATCAATTGATGCTCTGCCTTGGTCAAAACAAGAAATATTTGAATTATCGATACAGTAGTACAGGTACCCTATTGAGTGGTTGGGAAGAGCAATGAGTGTAAAATTAAAATAGGTCAACATGTAACTTTTTTCCAGTCAGCTTTGTAGTTTTGTTGGTTTTATAAGTCCGGGTAACAAATTAGGTGAATGGGGAGGGCTGGGTAACACTTGAGGGATGGAATTCGGAAAGATTTCAAATTTTGAAAAAGGAAATTCGTAGAGATGAAATCATAGAAGGATGAGAATTTCGAATGAGGTCAAGTTAAAAAGGAAAATAGGTCACAAAAGTTTTGTCGTGCTCTATAAAGCTAGAGATATCACATTAGATGTGTTGGATCTTCTACTGATAGGAACTTTCAGCCTAATAATAATTTTTCAAAAATTAGGTCACAAAAGTTTGTTTTTCGTTCTGTATAGATGAACATTTTACTTTTAGTGAGTAGGATAGTGAAAAAATAGGTGTTCTAAGTTCGGATTCTCGAAAGTTTACTTAACCCAACTTTAATACAGGTGCTGTTAGGGGAACATCCTCAAAAACCCTAAAACTATTTTTACAGCTCCTCTATGCAAAATCTATGCACCATTATCAAGGTGGCGGTGTCTCGATGGCGGAACGTGCGATGGTGGAATGTCCACTTTTATTGATAAAAAACCTTATGCTTTCTACCCCTGCTTATGTTTCTCAGATGACATCTGACGGTTCATTTGTGGAAAAGGCAATAGGTTCTGTGCAATGCAATCAATACATGAGAGCAGTTCGAGATATCGTTTTTGCAAACTCATTTGTTTTCACGGTTTATAGGGATTGCCCCCAGACTCGCACGCAACAACAAAGTTCTACAATTAAATCTACGCGATTATTATTGTTCGAAACAACTATTATTGTGCCTTTTGAGATCACTCATGAATATGTCTCCACTACTTAACTTTGAAAATTCAATTTACATTTCGACATTTTGAAACTTCCTAGAACTTTTTATCAGCTATTCCACATAATCTGAAAGTTTTAAAATGTAAAAAACTTGTAACAAATGAATTCATTCAAAGAAAAACGCGAAACTCAACAGAGAACATACGCATCAAACAATGTGACGTGGCACTTCTTCTTCAATCGGCGAGATGCGATCCTGCTTGCACGTGCACAACCATGGCAGAAGACATAGGAATATGGTGTAGACAACTATCAAAGAAATAATCGCAGGATGGTTCAGGTACATCCAAGCTTCATACATTTCCGGAGACGACAGTTTGGTTGGAACTGACGAAAAATGTCGAGGAAAAGCGGAGGAGAGGGAAATCTATGTTGTATTGATTGAAGCACCTCTGACTGGCAGATATTTGCATTTGCGTGAGAAAAATATCTGTTCGAATGGTTGGGTGATGATGTGCATAGGACGACCTGGTATGGTAATAAAAAAGAGGTGAGAGACAAGAGGTTTTTTTTTCATATTGAAAATAAGTTTAAACAAAGGTGACTGAAACAACGACCGGTTGAAATGCTATGTTACAGAAAACATCAAGAATGTTGAAATTGTGAAATAATAAGAAAAAGTCTCAGAAATCCGTTTTAATTTCATTAATTGTCTATTTTCAATTTGAGTTGTCGATTGGGAAAAAACGTTTAAGATTGATATTTCAGAGCTAGAACAAACACATGCACTAACATAACTTGATTCGAATCTAAAAAGATTTTCTACAATTTTTTTGTTATTTCTTTCGAAAAAAAAAGAAAGACATGAAATTTTATAGTGAAAAAAATTGAGGAAAAACTAAATCGGAAGAAAATCGGGAAAATAAGCATTTTTGCAGATTACTGTAGCTTTTGTACTGGCACTTTTGACTGCTTATATGATACTGATAAACTTTAAGAGTCAGCACCGAACATGAACAACCATTTTTCAAGCCGAATTAACTCAATAAAAAATTCAAATTTAAAAAAAGAAAGACAAAAACATTTTTAGAGCTTCTTCAGTAGTTACCGTATGCAGTTTGACGAAACGGTGGCTATTGTACTGCTTTCATATACGAAGTCAGCACAACCTGCGCTTCCCCAGCTCACAAGGGAAGTACCCGAAGTGTCCCCTCGCTTTTTCTTACATATTGGTGGCAAATAATGTTTCTTCCCTGCACAAAACGGATAATATAAGCGGCCCATGCGCAGTTATAGCAGAATGGCAAAACTGTTTGTAATTTTTCAAAAAAAAGTGGTCATGTCTATTCGAAAAGTCATAACTTCGTACAGGCAGAAGATAAAGTTTCAAACTAAACTGCGTCTTATAGATCTAGGTTGAGGCTACAAAAAACTCAATTACATCTTTATCCTATCTCTGCAAAGAAGTTTACTAGGATGAGAAATGTCCGAATGGTCCGATTGTGTGAAATCGAAAAATGTCGATTTTCGAAAAAAACACTTTTGGGAGACTATGTCCATCCTATTCCTTTTATGCCATAATGCAAAACTATGGTCTCAAGTATTTCGCTCACCTTTCATTTACGTGAGATTTTTGATAAAATAATTTTTCAAAAATCGATTCCAGGTACCCCCATACATGGTATTTTTTGAGCTCATTTTTCCACATACAACATAAAAGCTCTGAGAATGAAGGATTCAGTTGGTTCAGTTTTTTATTGATAGAAAATGATCAAATCGTGGTTACAAAGTCAAAAATTTCGAAAAAAAATTGTCACATGTTCAAAAATATGTATAGTGGTCCATGGAATTGATTTTTGAAAAGTTGTTTTTTCAAAAATCTCTCGTAAATAAACGATGAGCTATATATTTGAGATAGTAGTTTTGCATTATGGCATAAAAGGAATCGGATGGACATAGTCTCCCAAAAGTGTTTTTTCGAAATTCGACATTTTTCGATTTCACACAGTCGGAACATTTAGACATTTCCCGTCTTAGAATACTTCTTCGCAGAGATAGGATAAAGGTGTAATTGAGTTTTTTGTAGCCTCAATTTAGTTCTATAAGATGCAGTTTAGTTTGAAATATCATCTGCCTGTACGAAGTTATGACTTTTCGAATAGACTTGACCCACTTTTTCTGAAAAATTACAAAAAGTTTTGCCGTTCTGCTATAACTGCGCATGGGCCGCTTATATTATCCTTTTTGTGCTAGTCCAGGGAAGGGACATTATTTGCCACCAATATGTAAGAAAAAGCGAGGGGACACTTCAGGTACTTCCCTTGTCAGTCAGTAGCACTCCGGCGCCTCTAACGATAGACCTGTCAATTCAACTCCTTGAGGGCGCATACAAACGAAAATTCAAAATTTTTTTAAAACGTTCCACATTTTTAAAACCGTGAAAAAGTAGTTAGAATTTCGCTAATTTTCTGAAACTGTCCGAATTCACCAAACAACATTTTTTTGTAATTCATCAATAAATAGGTCCACTTAAAAATGTGAAAACTCTAAATGTAAGCCCCTTGCGATTTTCAAAAGTTTTGCCACTTTGTTTTTGTTCATACACTCAATTTAATAAACTTGTACAATAAAAATATAATAATTCAAGCTTTATTTTTGTTTAGTAGACCTGGAAATGTGAATTCTCCTCCTATGAAATCGTTTATACTTATGGAGCATCTCAATCTGACCATTGAAAAGTAGTCAAATTTAAACGAATTCGGGTCTGTACTGTAGAAATACATTTGATTATAAGTTTTGCCACGCCAATCCGTCTTGATACTTTTGACAAAGTTAACCTATGATCCTGTAAATGATATCGAAAATTTATGGAATACCAAACTATCTTTAATATGGTGTTTAGTTAGTAGATAGTTAGGACATCTGTCTCAGAAAACGAGGAAAACGAAATTTTAGGAGGTCTTACAGTTTTACGGCGAAGCATAATATTCCTCTCTTCACTTTCTATCATTTTTTCTCAAATTCCTTCTCCCGACATTATTACAGTG